GAGTCGTACTGGGATTTCAATATTTCACTCATTTCCTTGCTGTCATCTGTGTAAGTCCCATCCTGTCTGAGTAAGGGCCCGATACTAGATGTGGTATTTGCCTTGTTTTTGGCATATGAAGAGAAATATTTTGAATTTCTTTCAATTTCACTAATAGCTTTAAGCTCCTACTGTCTCTCCTGGTTCCTGTAAGAGTCATTTAACTTAAGTTCGATAGTTTCCACTTCCCTGGTCAGCGCCTCCTTTCGTGTATCAGATATTCTAGCACTCCTGAGGAGCTCAGTGACTCTTCGTCGTCTTCTGTAGAGGGAGCGTCTTTCTCTCTCCAGTTTACTCCTGCTCTTCTTCTTTCTTAGGGGAATATGCCTAGAACATGCTTCGGCTGCCAGGAAGTTGATCCTTTCAAGGCACTGGTTTGGATCCATGTCATTTAAGACATCTTCCCAACATGTTTCGTTTAGGACATGGTTTACCTGGTCCCAGTTGATGTTCTTGTTGTTGAAGTTGTATTTTGTGAAGACACCTTCACAGATACATGCATTCTGCTGATCAGGACCCCTATGCATGTACGTCTGGATTTCGATTAGGTTGTGATCGGAATTAGTTGTTTTTGATATTCTTATGTCTCTTATCAGGTCTTCATTATTTGTGAAGATAAGGTCAAGTGTGTTTTCTAGTCTTGTTGGCTCCACTATCTGCTGGCTTAAGGTGTGTTTTTCGCTGAGACTTAGTAGCTCATGTGTTTGTGACCTTTCATCTGCGCTACCTCCGGGGATTGTTTCAGCTATAACATTATTTGCTACATTCTTCCATTTTGTATGCCTTAGGTTGAAATCACCAAGCAGTAAGATGTTTGGGGATGGAGCTGGAAGGTTTTCCAAACAGTAATAAATTTTCAGTAGCTGTTCCTTGAACTGTTGTGAGGTTGCATCTGGTGGCTTATATACAACCACAATGACTAGGTTTTGGTTCTTGATCTTTAATGATAGAACTTCATCTACCTCATTTGTGGTGTTCAGCAACTCCGTGCAGATGAGGGACTCTTTGACATACAGGCCAACCCCCCCCTTGTTGCCTGTTCTTTCTGTCGCATCTAAAAAGGTTGTAACCACTTATCCATATTTCACTGTCAAAGTGATCTTTTGTGTGAGTCTCTGTGAAGGCTGCAAACATTGCATTAGACTCCTCTAGAAGTCCACTGATAAAAGGTATTTTGTTGTTGGTGGATGGCTTAAGGCCCTGTATATTAGCAAATATGAACGAGGTTGTATTCTGTGTTTGTTGGGGGGATTTTGTTATTGGCATCAGTAGTTGTAGTTCTGGAGGGCCATGGGTGGCCACTGGCTGCGCCTCCAGTCCAACAAGGCTCCAAGGTGGTGGACTATTTTTGTTATTTCCTTCCATTTTCCTTTTACGTTTCCTGCCACTAAAAAATCACCTGGAGTTGGGTTGTCATAGCTACTATTGGAGCTTATGTATTGATGACAGATGAGGTGGAGCAGTGGTAGCTGGAGTCACCAGTGTAGACAGCCTGTACTGTCTGCACAGACAGCCCATGCTGTCTGCCAGCTTAGTTCATATTTCGCGGCACTAAGGTGCTGCCCTCTGTAGCTAGGCCTCTCGGTGGGCACGGCAGCCTGCCTGCCCTTGCCTCGCTCTCACTCACACAGCGGCCTAGCAGGAAGACACAAGGCCTACTCCTAGCTCTCTCTCGTGGGATGGCCCTGCCCGGGCCATGGGCCCAACACACAAGCCTGTGTACCCACCACGACTTAACAATAAACAAAGAAGCCTCCGAAGAAGATGTATCATTTACTACCCGCTACCAGAACACCAAATAAGTCCATTAAACACCAGTGAACATAGCCACTAGTGGACTGAAGAAGCCACTGTTCTTGACCTTCATGGCTAAATGGCGCCATTGACCTGGAGGAGGGGAGTTGTTTGTGGAGAGGCGGAAAGTCGTTAGGGAAAGGGTCAGGGGTTGGCTGCTGGTGGAGGGGTTTGGGGGTGAGTAGTTGTTACTGGTGGGAGGGTGATGGGGAGGGGGGAGGGGGATGGTTGTCACTTGGTAATTATTAAGGGACTAACAGTCTTGTTACTGTGTGTAAAAACGTGGCTTGAACCTTGATATTTGAAACGCCCTGGACACTAGCCCAAAGACACTCGTTTGCCACATATTCGTAATTCTAATGAACAATGTCCATGGTAGTCCTGACATTGTTCATTGAAAAACCGTCATTGAGTTGGCTACGTATTGCATCTCTTGGGTTTAAGTGCTTATTTTGTCAGGGACCGGTTTAACGGGGCTCTAAACATGGAAATTAAATTGAATTACAAATAACAAATGAACGAAAATGAATGATAAACAGCAGTTTTTGAAAAAAAAAATGTTAGGTTTCGAAGACGACGTCTTATTTTATTGTTCTCAGTCTTATTGTCTTGAAGAACAACTGGCTATAATTTTCCGTTTGTAATATATTCCATCTACAAAATATAATAATTACCGATGTGTATTTATATCTTTGGTGTCACGCTTTCGGTATCTATATGGTGGCAGTTGACCAAAAGTACACATCTTTTCTCTGACAGGAAACCACATGTCTGAGTCAGAATCACATGGTGGCGCTTCACTGTTCATGTCTACAAAAGTATCTGTAAAATGTGGTTGTGGTGATTCATCACCTTTACTATCTTGATTTGGTATGTTCTTTTTATTTTCTGCAGATGTACTTGGGAATGCGGGTGGGTCCTCAGAAGTTTTTAGTTTAATATGTTTATTATGCACCCCATGCCCATCCTGTGGGCGGTAGTCAAAAGATTACAGAGGTACATAATTGGTCCAGGGACTGGCCTCCAAAGTTTTGATAGCTGAGCAAGTTACAGAGGTAATGAACTCACAATTTACAAAGGTAGTGAACTCACAATTTACAAAGGTAATGAACTCCAGGTAGGTCTGGTCACAATCATGACAAGTTACAAAGGTATTTACAGATTACAGGAAACATCATCTGGTAGTATTACTGGTTCTTCATTAGTAGCTATGATTTTTCCACTACGGAAGCAGAGAAAAATTGTCTTTGCCAAGACTGCAACATTTCTTTCGCTTGATTCTTCGGAAATCTTTCTTTTCTGAGCTCCTGACAAGTGAATTTTCCGTGACATACTGGGCCTTCTGAAAAAACAAATATTCAGATTTTTTGACATTAATGATAATGTAGTTAATGACACACACACACACACAAACACAGGATAAGTGGCCTAAGACTGCAAACCTCACTCAAGGAGAAAGATCTTGAGGTGAGTATAATTCCGAGCACGTCTCCGGAAGCACACATGAACCAAATAACTGCTGCAGCATATGGGCGCCTGACAGACCTGAGAATAGGGTTCCGATGTTCCGATACCTCGGTAAGGAATCGTTCAAGACACTGTACACCGTGTACGCCAGGCCCATATTGGAGTATGCAGCATTAGTTTGGAACCCACATCTGGTCAAGCACGTCAAGCAATTAGAGAAAGTGCAAAACTTTGCAACAAGGTTAGTTCCAGAGCTAAGGGATATGTCCTACGAAGAAAGGTTAAGTGAAATTGGCCTGACTACACTGGAGGACAGGAGGGTTAGGGGTGACATGATAACGACATGCAAAATACTGCGACGAATAGATAAGATGGACAGAGACAGGATGTTCCAGAGATGGGACACAGAAACAAGGGGTCACAATTGGAAGTTGAAGACTCAGATGAGTCAAAGGGATGTTAGGAAGTGTTTCTTCAGTCAAAGAGTTGTCAGGAAGTGGAATAGGCTGGCAAGTGATGTAGTGGAGGCAGGAACCATACATAGTTTTAAGATGAGGTATGATAAAACTCATAGAGCAGGGAGAGAGAGGACCTCACAGCAGTCAGTGAAGAGCAGGGTCAGGAGCTGAGTCTCGACCCCTGCAACCACAAATAGGTGAGTTCAAATAGATGAGTACACACACACACACACACACACAACCATAATATATATATATATATATATATATATATTATATATATATATATTATAACTATGTAATATATATATATTGTGTTTGTGTGTGTATGTGTGTTTGTGGATGTGTATGCATGTGTAAGATGTAATTGCAAAATGATGATATATCGCAAACCTTTGTGAGAAGCACACAGATCTAAAACACGGACACCACTGCCCTACACCATTACCTAGCACTAAAAGCAGTCAACAAACACACACAGACACATATATAGCCCCAGGTGTCACCAATGATGTTGTAGGTCCATTGACCTGCTACACTGACGTTAACCAGAAATAGCCCTGCTGAGGTCGACATAGCCAATCAAATCCATACACACATTAGCTACCTCGCACACACAGACACATGCACACACATGCGCGTGTGCACCCTGGTCACCTCTGACCTCATGGTCTGGTCATTTTCCTCTAAACTGAAGCTAACCAGAAATAGTTAAGTTATTCAAAGGGAGAGCGGTTGGAGGGCACCCTTTCTATTTTCTGATGCCCCCACACACACTTTATTTGTTAATTCCTTTTATTAATTAAACTAGTTTTTTTATTATTACATTTTGTTATAATGGAAATCCTTCGTTTGGGGGCCCTTCTGGCAGGGGGGCCTGGGGCATTGTTCCCCTTTCATCCCTTATAAATCCGGCCCTGGTACTAGTGGTACAATAGTAGTGGAGTTCAGCGCCTTTGGTCGCGACAGTGGTGGCCTTGAGAGAGGTTCCATGAAGGTGTTGGTGAGGGTCTCTTGATCCAAGGAATGTGATCTATGTCTCCTGAGAGTGAAGTTATCCTCCCAGGTGGTCCATGGCCCTCACGGGTTGAACACTCCACCATAAGTAATACTGATAGTGAGGGTGTAGTAATGCCATCTAGTGATGGTAGTGGTGGTGTAGTAGTGCCATCTAGTGGTGATAGTAAAAGTTAGTCAGTTATCAGTGATGGTGTTATAGTGAAGGTCATGCCAGTGACCAACCTCAAGGGCACTAAAGGTTAGATGAAATTCAGTGGCCGTACAGGAGAGACGTGTTGCTCCTCCTGCCGCCCCGCCGGCTTTATGGCTTCCTCATTCTTTTAATGCACCTAAATAACGTAAGTATTGTCTAGTGACGTATTTGTCAGTACAACAGCAGAGTTGAGCTGCAGCTCCTGGTCCCCACCAGTTTGGTCACCAAATTATTTGCAATTTAATAGTCTTAATTTAATTTTCATTGGTGTCTAATGTCTTAGAGGGGGGGGCGTGATTGACCTTAGTGGAGGAGTTTTGATGTGAGGACCTGGAGCCACTCCCCTTTCTCTGATCAAACAGTAACTCTCACACTAGGCGTTACATAACCCATAATGGTGTATCCAGTTCTGGGCTATTTTTTTCCATTATTGAAAAATAACTTAGTGAAGGTCTCTTAATCCAAGGAACTTGGGCCTTGTGATCCAGATATAGACTTCCATGTAAACGAATTGTTAGTCATCAGGTTTATGTGAAAGAAATATTTATTAAAGAAAAAGATAACTTTACTATGTTGAATATTAATGGGTATATGTCAGGCAGTAATGTTACTTAGTAGTTTATATTACTTGGTAATGTTTGCCTATAAATGTGTGTAATGTTCACGGTTATAATGTGAATGTTTTATTTCAGGTGTGGTAACTGAGGAGTGCTGTGCCTGGCTGTTTCTGCTGCAACATTGATCAACACCGCAACCTTGATCAGTCTGAGGGGTGGAGACAACCACACTAGTAAATGGTGTTATATGGAGATGTAGCAGTTGGAGACGTCGTTAGAGGTGGGCAGGGCCCACTTGTAAGGTACTTCCAGGTTATAAGTCCACTAAAGTTTGATTATTTAAGCAGATATTAATTGTATTAGGTGGGAAGGTGGTGAGGAGAGTATAGGAAAGATGGTAAGCAATTGATATCAGAAGTAGCTTAGTGGGAAATATTAACATGTCTCCCGACCAGAGATAAAATCTCTGGCCAGGAAATAATGAGGAATGTATTCTAAAGGTTACCTTGAATGGGGCGGAAATAAAAATTGAAGAAATGGGTTGTAACGCATAGAATTGAAGACTATTTAGATTTTAGGAAGTTTTAGTTAGTGTAATATTTTTATTGTGCAGTCTATACCCATCCTGCAAGATTGTAGGAAGTAAAGATGAAATGTGTGATCTATCAAGGCTCAGTTGGTAGTGGCGTCAACTGAAGAACCGGGGTTCGATCCCGGGCACAAGTGGTCATGTTCCCTTATATCCATTGACACTTCACATAAAGGAGGAACACTGCAGCAGGCCTACTGACCCTGAGCAGGCCTACTGGTAGGGGTCGCATCCTGGGGAAGTATAAATACCCTAATAAAAATGTTATAGATGTCATCCTGACTTGATTGGGTAATTGTGTTAATCTACCGGGTTAATAATTATACTGAGATAATTTAGTGTGGTGAGGGTAGTGATAGAGGTCTTGATGCCGGGTGTAAGGAAAGCCTATTAAATCAGGCATATCCATTATTAAGACATAAAGGAGCACTGAGGCAGGCCTATTGGCCCATGTTAGGCAGGTCCAACTCTCAACGACTCATTTGTCTAACCTATTTTTAAAACTACACAGCCAAAGTTTTAGCTTCCCATGACGTGATAAATTTTCCTTATGCAGAATATATTAAAGCCTGAAAAATCAATAACTCAGAAATGTGGAATTAACCACATCTTCCTATTTTCAGTAGGGTTGTAGAAGGCCTGGCCAAGTAATTTTATGCTTTAAAGTCCCAAAAATATTTTCAGCAGTATAGCCCTGTGGGTTTAGCTCTTACGACTCCAGAGACTATTAGAGCGTCTTGGTGGGGGGAGCATTTGTTTTGAAATTGGGTTATAGAGTATATATTTAGAGACTTCGTAGACTGATGTTGCTAGACTCCCTTGATCTTACCTTTACCTCCATTCATCCTCCCTTGCCCCACCACTGCTCTGTAAATGGAGTACGCTGCATAGTTGTAGGTCCACAATTATTTAGTTTCTACTATCAAAATAACTTGTAGAATTAGGTGGTGGTAAGTAGGATAGGGAAAGTATAGAACTGGAGAATCTGCTATATGCATTATGAATGCATATAGCAGGGGAGAGTAATCTCCCCCGAAGGCATAGATTACGTAGAACTGTGGGCCTTGGAACCCACCAACGACCTTCAGAAACTGTGTGGAGTCTGTTATTGCACGTGGTTTCCGTGGGGATGTTGGTGGGTTGTCGGGGCTTTGGGTAGTGGTTGTGGTGGGTGTTCTACGTTTTTTATGCCTTTGGCCAAATTGTGCAAAGTTAAATATTGATTCATTGAGTTCACACAGTCATCATTTTGGAAAATGTAAGCGACGTTCAGGTTCCTATGAATATAAAAGTATTACCGTTCAGAACTGCAGTTGGTTTGATAATTTGTAAGTAGTGAAGTCTAATGCTTCTGGCAACAGACGGTAATGATGAAAATAATCAAAACCTCTGTGATCTTAAGTGTTAGTGAATCCTTTCTGCCGACTAACATCTGACACTGAGTGTAGTTAGGGGGGTGATTTAGATTGATATTAGTGAGAATAGGATTATTAACCCTGCTGGGTTAGAAACCCAGAAAAATAGAGGTAGAGAATGTGAGGGCTTGAATGTAGTGGTTGTCAGGTTGTACCTGGTTACCTGGAGGTTATTCCGGGGATCAACGCCCTCGCGGCCCGGTCCATGACCAGGCCTCCCGATGGATGAAGGCCTGATCAACTAGGCTATTACTGCTGGCCGCACGCAGTCCAACGTACGAGCCACAGCCCGGCTGATCCGGCACTGACTTTAGGTATCTGTCCATCTCTCTCTTGAAGGCAGCCAGGAGTTTATTGGTAATTCCCCTAATGCTTGATGGGAGGCTGTTGAACAGTCTTGGGCCCCGTGTACCTAGGATTCCAGCCATAACTTTCAGGTAGGTAGGTAGGTTATGAATTCAGGCTAGCATAGTAGTGTTAGGAATCTGGTATACGGCAGGCCTCCAACTGGTTAGAAACCTCAGTGTTGGTTATTAGTCTAGTGTGCTATGAGGGACGTGGAAGGGGAAATACAATTCTGTCTTAGGATCATTAATTAACTACCTTCATGTGTCTTTGTACTAGTGAAGGTATATTGATGCAGTTGCAAGTACCCTTCCCTTCCTTAGCTTAGGGAATGTTAGGGGTTACACACAGATCAAACCTGATAGCACTATGGATAATTTATCTAGACAAAAGTTTCCTATATTTGGGTAAATGTGCACATACGTAAAATTTTGGAGTGGGGGGGGGAGTGGTAAACTCATCTACCTGTCCCCCCTAAAGTCAGATTTGATTCAGAGGATAGTAGTGCAGGTTGACTTTATAATTTTTTTTTTCCTTGTCCCTTAAATATAGGCGTCTAACATTACAATCTGGCTAACCCTACTTCTAATTATGACAGTTTACCCTCCAACTTGTTTGTCAGGAGGATTCTGCGGCAAACTAAGTGTTGTACTGTCCAGTGTCGCAACAGTTTAGCTTCATGACCTTGTGATTGTATTGTCAGGAAATTAAAAAATGTATCGTACCTCAGACTATTAATAATGGCAGTATTGAGGCTATCCGCCTCATTACTACTATTGTTAGTAGGGTTGGGGTAGGTAATTTTTTTTTTTTTTTTTTTCACCCCCGAGCTTAAAGCTCCCGAATTGTGTAAATGTTGTCCTCCTGCTGACAAATACAGCAGTTGAGGCGCCTCTCGGTTTTGTTTCTTGTGTGTCCTTGGACATTGTTGTGATATTTTACCACTGAACCTTTCATTGCTTAATTTTAAGCCTGCCCATAATGCTCTGCATACAAGGAGCTTTTGGCATGTACACCCGACTACAATAATTCCTTGTACAATTATGTATCATGTCCAAATAAAGAAAGAAAATGAATATAAAAAATGTATTTATTACATTTTAATTAATGATCTTAAGTGTATCGAATCTTGTAGGCTGAAGATATTCCCCATGTTGTAGGCAGCTGCTGGGTGGTGGTGTCCATTGGGCAGCTGCAGGTCTTAAGAGATATCCTCACCAGCAGCGACACCCCAAAACAATGTCTGCAAAGATTATTCATGAACTGCAGTAAGCTTCAACATTTTGTAGAAAGAAAAATTACTAAAATATTTTCAGAGCTGATCTATCAAAAATTACCATGAAATTGGAGTAATCCAAATTTTTTAAATTACCACAGGGTGATGGAACTGGAAGAGCTGGAGGTGTTGATGGTGTGGTGGATGGCAGAGGAGTGACTAGTGGCGCCACTATTCTTGACCTTCATGGCTAAATGGCGCCATTGACCTGAAGGAGGGGGGGGGGTGATGTCAGTGGTTGTTTGTGGAGAGGGAGAAAGTCGTTTGGGGAAGGGTCGGGGGTTGGCTGGTGGTGGAGGGGTTTGGGGGTGAGTAGTTGTTACTGGTGGGAGGGTGATGGGGAGGGGGGTTGGGGGATGGTTGTCACTTGGTAATTACTAAGGGACTAAGTCTTGTTACTGTGTGTAAACGTGGCTTGAACCTTGATATTTGAAACGCCCTGGACACTAGCCCAAAGACACTCGTTTGCCACATATTGGTAATTCTAATGAACAATGTCCATGGACTAGTGTTGAAAACAGTCTCCTTGATGTTGGGCTTACGTATTTGACATCTCTTGTGGGTTTAGTGCTTAGTTTTGGTCAGGGCCGGATTTAGACCTGGGGGGGGGCTAAACATGGAAATTAGATTGAATTACAAATACAAAATGAACGAAAATGAATGATAAACAGCAGTTTTCGAAAAAAAATGTTAGGTTTCGAAGACTACGTCTTATTTTATTTTTCACAATCTTATTGACTTTAAGAACAACTGGCTATAATTTTCAGTTTGTAATATATTCCATCAACAAAATATAATTACCGATGTGTATTTATATCTTTGGTGTCACGCTTTCGGTATCTATATGGTGGCAGTTGACCAAAAGTACACATCTTTTCTCTGACAGGAAACCACATGTCTGAGTCAGAATCACATGGTGGCGCTTCACTGTCCATGTCTACAAAAGTATCTGTAAAATGTGGTTGTGGTGATTCATCACCTTTACTATCTTGATTTGGTATGTTCTTTTTATTTTCTGCAGATGTACTTGGGAATGCGGGTGGGTCCTCAGAAGAAACATCATCTGGTAGTGGTGCTGGTTCATCATTAGTAGCTTCTATGATTTTTCCACTAAGGAAGCAGAGAAAAATTGTCTTTGCCAAGACCGCAGCATTTCTTTCGCTTGATTATTTGGAAATCTTTCTTTTCTGAGCGCCTGACAAGTGAATTTTCCGTGGCATACTGGGCCTTCTGAAAAAAAAAAAAAAAATATTCAGATTTTTTGACATTTAATGATAATGTAGTTAATGACGCACGCACGCGCGCGTGCACCCTGATCACCTCTGACCTCATGGTCTGGCTATTTACCTTTAAACTGGTGCTAACCAGAAATAGTTAAGTTATTCGAAGGGAGAGGGGGTGGGGGGCACCCTTTCTTTCTATTTTCTGATGCCGACTACACACTTTTTGTTAATTCCTTTTATTAAACTAATTTTATTACATTTTGTTATAAAGGAAGTTTTGTCTGGGGGGCCCCCTATGGCAGGGGAGCCCCGGGCATTTGCCCCCCTTATAAATCCGGCCCTGCCGAGCTCAGGCAGTTGTTGCTTGGGTCTACTGAATCGCCAGTCAGGTACACTGGGCAAATGGGACCAGCGGCTTAAGCCATTTTAAATTCGCCGTGGAGCCGTAGTGTGTCGTGCTGCAAGGTACTTGTTCAATGAGTGGATCCGATATGAATATTTCTGAGGTGTCCATGAAGATGGAAGAGTGGCCTTCTCTGATGATATATCAAATAATTTCTCCAACAGTCGTTGCGTAGGCAATGGTTTTTCTTTCTCGTTGTCTCGGCCATGGTTGTCAGTCAAGTGTCATCGTTGAAGAGATCGCGGCCCTGACAGAGAGCTGAGGAGAGACATCTTAAAATACTGGGTCTCCATCTTAGAACACTGGTCCATCATCTAAGAAACATAGACCAGCATCGTAGAACAACGGACCACCATCTTCAAATACACTGGACCAGAAGTTTTCTCTCATAAGACTCCTTGATCTTGGCACTAACCAAGATGAGAATAATTAGATGCAGAGAGCTGTCGTTGAGCTTTACAAAGGACAGAGATGACTTTTATAATGAATGAAAATTCATGTAATTTTTGTGTTTCTTCATCCAAGAGGAAGGTTCGAGTTCTTGCACTGAATGAGGCAACACACCTTGCATTGATTTGGTTGCAGATAATCCAAGGATAGGAGGAATAGGGCAACAGGACTTTTCCTCTTCCTCGGACAGAACCTGATTGTCTCACATCACAAAGGCGTTGTATGATCCCTAATGATTTAGAGCTTCCCCTAAATACAATAATAATAATACTGAAGGTGAAGCTTTGATTGTTTTGTCTTATTTTACGAATTAATAAGAGGGTAATCGGTGGTTGAGGAGGATGGACAAGTGGGCGGGGTGAGGATGTTAGTGCCCATCTTGGCCGCCCGGCCAGCGGGCGTGTTGACTCTGGCCAGGGGTCGCACCTAATTTGTCCGAGGCATCCCTGCCATATAACCTGCCAGGTGAACGATCTAGTGACCAATCACAACCTTTAAATAGCCACTTTGTAAAACCGGTTCACTTCCTCTCATGAGTCTCCATCGATGGAGAATCGATGATTCTCGCCCGGTGTTGCGAAGCCCATGCCTGGACAGCGTTTAGGGAGGGGGTATATTAGTGTGTGTGTTGATAACCAGACCTTGAGCACTTATCATGGGAGTGGCGGAAGGGAGGGTGGGTGCTAGCTAGCCAGACCTCCTCACACGCTGCTGGGGAGAACACCTCTTTCCCGACGCTCGCTGCCTACCATAAGGTCAGTTTTTTTTTTTTTTTTTTTTTAATTTCTATTACCCGACTCCTGTGTTTCTGCTTCCTAAGTGGGACAGCGTTATTCCAAAACTGGAATGTGACGTTATATATTACTGTCTGGTAACATTCAACAACGGCGAGTTTCAGGAAGTGTTACGAATAAATGTGTAAAAAAAAAAGATGTGATGTGTGTACATCGTTTGGGTGAATTGAAAAATCTTTTTTTTTCTTTACATTAGCCTATGTTAAATGTGAGAGTGATGCAGAAACAAAATTTCACTGCATTTATTATTTCTTAGCAAACAGCAGGAATTCATTAATAAAGACGTACCACAGTCAGGATGTCTAGATATGATACCAGATAAAGAAACTCCATCATCATCCCAATTAGCATCCAGTGTGGTTCCACTCCACACTCCAAGTTAACTCCATTGTCACTCCAGTAAACATCCAGTGATTCCACTCCACATTCCTGCAAGCTAACTCCACCATCACTCCAGTAACATCCATTGTGCCTCCACTAGCAAGCTGACTCATCATCACTAGTAAACATCCAGTGGTTCCACTCCACACCAGCAAGTTTTCTCGCCTATATTCTCCTTGGGTCTAATAAGGCTGTTTGTTAACATTAAGCATGCCTGTGTTTCTTCAGTATGGAGATAAGAGGTAACACGTTGTTCAAATAAATATTTGAACAGCACATGAATGCTTTAGGCCCTTGAGCCCTTGTGGTTTAGCGCTTCTTTTTTTATAATAATTTAGGCCCGTGTTGAGCTGTTGAGCATTTAGTTGCTTGATCATTGCAGTGTTGATCCAATTCTCACAACTCTTGATTTTGTTATATCTATTGTCATAAAAAAAATCCCTAAAATTGGCTCTTTTTGCATTTCTTTAAAGTACTACGAATTTCACTTTATTTAAATGAGTAAATAAGTAAAAATGTTATTTGTTTATCATCTGAAGACCTTGGAGAGTAGTCGAAAATATTAGGCCTCGAATTTCCTAGTAGTCTTACGCTAAGATTTCAAATGAGACATTTTGTTTCTTATAACCGTCATATATTTTTTCCTCTTAGATTGTATAGTGTATATATACTGAAAGTATTTTAATCTCTATTTTAGGGATTAATATATTGGCCGGCGGTAAGCAGGTTGCTGAGCCTCAATGACCCTGTGTAAACGATAGGCTTTTAACCCCAATAAATGAACCAACCATATATTCTACGTTACAAAAAAATCATAAGTGGGTTGCACTAAATACATTAATCGCCTCAATACTGGAATGAAGACTAATATGATAATTCAGTTAGCGAAAAAGAAAATACTAATTGGGTTAATATCTTTGTGACGCACAAGCCTAATAAATCAATACTATAATTCTGAATGGAAAAAAGGACAGCCAGACCAAATATTTTACATATGGACATAGTGTACATCGTCAGGACATTACTTTTAGTGGGTCGAAGAATAACCGTGCCTGTAAAGCCTCTCACCATGCATTAGAATGATTAAAGCACATCGAATTATAATGTGAGTGGTATAAATGTCTTGGCTTAATTGACTAGTGTGTTTCAAAATCTTGGAAATGAATTCTCCAGGAAGTCGGGACTATACATGCCAAGAGTGCATAACTGCGTGGTAATCATGAGTCAAAGACGAACTTCAGATTGAAGGTTCGATTAATCTGTATAGAAGAGCTGTATAAATCTTATAACCACGTACTATTTATATGTACCTGGAGGATGGTTGGACAACACTGCCATATATCTATAATTGGACTTTCAGACTCATGTTGAACAGACCAAAATATAACAAGTGACATCAGCTCCCGGAACAAGCCGTTGATGTAATAATGCTGGAGTTATGTCAGGTCGCCTTGTGCTTCTGCCAAAAACGTGGTTCCAATGCCTCACCAAACTGTTAGTTTGGTACACAAGGAAAAATAAGTCCACTTCTTGGCTCTCTCTCGCTTCCGCTCTGACGCAGAACTCACTCAGAGCTGTCAAGAAGTTTTTACCTTGCTTATTAACATTAAAGTCTAATTTAACAGCCCGAAGCAGATTAGATCACAGTATTAATTGCTTTTATAGGTTTATAGTCGGTGGGCTGATCAAGGGTCGTTGATTAATGGAGTTTTAAAGCCTATCGATTTCACGAGGGATCATTAGGCTTCCATCAGAAAAATACTGCGAGTTTACTTTAACCAATAAAATGGGAATTAAAGGTAAACTCGGCATATTATACGCCGAGAGAAATATACTGTGATATATATACTGAAGGTTGCTTTTCACCTGTGCATCACCAATCGAGAGTTTTTTGAAGCTTCCTCAGTTACCGCTCTGTTTTACTCGTGATATTTTGATTTAGTCTGTTTTCGGTTTCCACTTTCTGCTTTACCCATATCTTTTTTTAACAATCTAGTGGATGAATCAGGTAAATTCATGATTATTAGACCAATCATTATTGAATGAAATCAGCAACTGAAATAATACGGGAACTGAGATTAAAATATTAAAAAAGTAAAATATGACTTAGTTGCATTTTACGATTCTGAGTGATGAATCTGAGAGGTGAATTATGAGGGAGTGATGGTGAGTAAGGGTATGGGAGGCATCACGGGGAAAGGAAAAAGGTGGTGGATTCAGGGAATGGTAGGTATGTTTACACTGCCTCAGGCCAAGGTCATTAATGCAGGAAGTGGGGTAGACGCTGGCAAAAAATGGAATAATATCAAATTATAGTCCCAAGTAAAGTACCCAAAATAAGCTGTAAATATTTAGTTATAATATTTGTTTATATCTTTTACATAACCCATTGTTTTGTTAACAGCAGATGTTGAAGTAGCCAGGTATTACTGTCTCGCCTGTCCAGTTTTGGTCTCCATATTATACAAACAATGAAGATATACCGGAGAGGGTACAGAGAAGAGCTATCGAGCTCGTACCATCACTCAAACCGTATGAAGAAAAACTCGGAGCACTCAACCTTTTCACTCTTTGGGAACAGGGTGTGTTTGTGGCGCAATTAACAGACGAAGGATCGAGCCTCCAATATTCCTCTCGTCGGATAATCCACACGGGTTCTGAGTTTCACACAGATATAAAGAAATATCTTTAGAAACTGTGACTACGAACTCTTATTGAAACTTTTAAGATACTAAATGACGCTAACACTAACATGAAGAACCATTCGAGATGCTGAATGAGCACTTAACTAGAAACATTGGAATGAAACTGCCAAGGCAGAAGATGCAACGCGAACGTATGCAAACCGTTTTTTTCTTTTTGGCAACAGAATTATAACAATTGATAAACTACCTGGTAATGTTGTCATCGCGAAGATAATACAGTCATTCAAGGACCAGACTGACAAGCCCTTCCCAAGGATAGGATTTAACTAGATACCTTACTGGGGCAATCTAAAGTCAACAGACTCATGTTTCAGCAACTACATAAGGACTATCGCTTGATAAGGAAACCAAGTCAATAATAGAAGTATTAGTAGACGTTGGTGGTTGTTAGTCATAACAAATAATACTGGTACACACTGCTCTGCGAGTGGCAGCGGAGTAACACATCTTACTAAGGTCTGTGTCAGGAACGTTTTCATGGCGAATAATTGACAGTTTCTGTCCTGTCCACTCTTACACTGTTCTCTCTTTGGTAATTGTTTACATGTATGTATTATTACTGTTATTATAATTGCAGATATTAAAATCACAGTAATTTACTAACCAGTGTTCTTCCCATCGTCTGAAGGATCGCCATGCTGGAGGAAGCAGCGCTGGTGCTGCTGGTGCTAGTAGTGACCATCCGGGTGGTGTATAGATGGCGATCTGGTCGATGCAGCTCCTCAGCCACCCTCGACGGCAAGACAGTCATCATCACCGGAGCTTCTGCAGGTTAGTGCTTATAGTGAACTATGCTAATACTGACGAGTTTTAAGACTAACATGAGTTGCAATATCCTCTTGAAGAGCAGGGTTTCAAAACATTTTCTCCTACCTTTGTCACCTTTTATGTCTAATTTTGCATCAAACCATCTCACCTATGTATACAAAATCGCGTTCTCCACATGGGATAGTGTAAACATTCTATAACTGTGTTCTTGATGGGGGTAAAGACTGTGAGGCTCGTGTCAGCTGTCTGGAATAGATGGGTGATAAAAGTTGGTCCGTCCAGTATGTAGTATCAATTGATAATCAGTGGTGGTGTTCTCTCTGGGATTCATGAAAATGCTAAGAGTTTTATTCATGGAGGAAAGGATGACGTGTTTGGGAAATTTCCTGGCAGAAAAAGCTCATTCAATACGCTTGTGCCTGACTTGACTTTGCTTGATCTCTCTTGTATCGGACACCGCCTCTCTTAAACCAGTACAAGTTTTTGCTTATTATCTGTATCTGATAAAACCCCCTTTAGGTGAAATGTCATAACCATAAAAGGTCTTACCTACCTTCTTAACTGCTAGCATCCAGCTGACTGAATTCCTAGCCTCTTTGGTTACATGAATTTGAAAGTATAGTTATGTACGTGTTCGCCCGAGAGCTGCCTTTAAAAAGGTCAAACGTCCCGTGTGGTGTGTGCGCGTGTGTTGGTTTTCTAACTCATACTGCTGAAATCATTATAAAACTAAAAGAGGGCAACCTTCCCTGTTATAATAATAATAATAATAAATACATGTTCTGGAAGGAATCGGTAAAGAGACGGCCATGGACCTGGCTGGCCGAGGAGCAAGAGTCATCATGGCCTGCAGGAACATGGAGAAGGCTAACAAAGTGGCAAGTGAGTACTTCAGTTTTATATACCGCCTCTACAGAGGCAGAAAAACATATCATTCATTACGATTTCAAAATAATATACAAAATCAGCAGTTATATTTTTCGAGTGAATCATGCCATTCCTTGCAAGGATAGCACAATGCACTATATAAGACTGTCTAATTTTACTGGTTGATGCCCCACCAGCTGAGATCCGTGTGGCGACCAACTACCGTGGGGAGGTGGAAGTACGACGCCTGGATACCTCAGACCTCGCCTCAGTCAGAGCCTTCGCCAAGAAGATCCTTGAGAACGAGAAGTCTCTCCATATCTTAGTGAGTTGTAAGGTCTTTTGTCCTGGCGAGTCTATACAAGAGTCGTTTCTTCTTTCTGAGTCCTTAGGATTGTTTTGCGATGTCTTGTTTTTGGGTAGTTACTAGGAGAGCACTTCTTGGCCAGTCATTCATGGAAATTCCTGGTTTTGGTGAGCCATGAATGATAAACTTCTTTTCTGCTGAGTCCAACGTAGAGCCTCTGTTTTGGCGACTTATTCATGGAGAGTCTTTGTTGGTGAGCCATTTGGGGAGATTTTTTTGTCTTTGTTAGTCATTCATGAAATTGTGTTGGTAAGTCGTTAGTGAACCCTTTAGTTATGATAAGTCACTCATGAAGTTGCTCGCATTAGTAATTCAGTATGTATAATCCAGGTTGAGGAGTCAGCTGTGAGGTTTCCATCTCTCAACTACTAGGGAGAAATTCTGCTTCAGCGAAACACGAGATCAGCATCTGGAGTCATCCGTGACAAACATCATCGATTTTATGAGCCAGTCGTAAGATCTTGGTGAATTGTTCGTGATATCTTTTTTTGGCATTTTTTTACGAGATCTTTAATGTGTTACGCTGTATAGTCCTTGTGGCTTAGCGCTTCTTTTTGATTATAATAATAATAATAATTTAATGTGTTACAATCAATATCCTTAATCAGTTATTTGTTGGGTTGTTAGTCCCTCCGTAATGAAGCACAGTTCTGATGTAGTATGATCTTTCTTGGCGAGTCACTTATAAGGTAATTAGTGAGTTGTAAGGTCCTTCTGTACAGTGATAGTAAAATGAACCATAGACGGCAGCAGAACCGAGCCAGGACTGGGGTGTGAGCAGAGGGACCGGACAGTGGTCTTTGCGACCCAGGCAACAAGAATGAGAGGTAAACTAGGTCGACGGCTTGTGACGTGCCTGTATCTGCCGACAGAGGTCGCAGGTGTGACACATGAGTGGGCTGTTTGAATGACTGTACAGGGAGCCCTTCACTTCTCCGTGAGTCACTGGCGAGGTTCTTCTTGGGGAATCATTTGTGAGGTCTTGGTGTGTTATTTAGGAGGGCCTTTAGCGAGTTAGTATTGTCACAGGCAAATGGATGGGAGATATCATCACATAACTGCGATATCATCACGCTCTCCAGAGTCTTATACCAGGAACCCTCGAAAGCTGGTTATCATTTAGCCAGGTAATGGGTGATTGCAGAACCATTCTATATATTCCTTTAAGATTAAAATGGAAATGCAGTAATATAATTCGTGCATTGACCTTCAGACACATGGTCTAGCCGCGCTCCAGCCCGGCAGAACAAAATGGGTCACCTGATGATGAAGACCTGTGTCAGGACTTTTGCCTGACGAATAAACCAACAGAAATAAATTTAAAGAAACAGGGGACCACACACAACACACCACACACACACACACACACACACACACACACACACCACACACACACACACACACACACACACACACCCCAACACACACACACACACACACACACCACACAATACACACACACACACACACCACACACACACACACAATACACACACACACACAATGCACACACACAATACACACACAATACACACACCACACACAATCACACACACACAATACACACCCACAATAAAACACACACACACACAATACACACACACACAATACACACACACACAATACACAACACACACACACATACACACAACACACACACAATACACACACACACAATACACACACACACACAATACACACACACACACACACACAATCCCCCACACACACAATACACACACACAATACACACACACACAATACACACACACAATACACACACCACAATACACACCACACAATACACACACACACAAACACACACAATACACACACAATACAACAAACACACACACAATACACACACACAATACACACACACACAATACACACACACACAAACACACACAATACACACACAATACCACACACAATCACCACACAATACCACACACACACACAATACACACCCCACACAATACACACACACACACAATACACACACACACACACACAATACCAATACACACATACACAAATACACACACACACAATACACACACACACACAATCACACACAATACACACACACACAATACACACACACACACAATACACACACACACACAATACACACACACACACAATACACACAATACACACACACACATACACACAATACACACAACACATACACACACATCACAACACACACACACAATACACACACACACAATACACACACACACAATACACACACACACACAATACACCACACACAATACACACACAAACACAATACACATAACAAACAATACACACACACAATACACACACAATACACACCACACACACACAATCACACACACAAATACTCCAATACACACACAATAAACACACACAACAATACACACAATATACAACACACAATACTCTCAAATAAAACACAATACACACACACCACATCAATGAACCTACAATACAAAAACCAATACACACACACACACACAATACATACACACACACACAAATACACACACACACACACACAATTTATTTATTTATAAATTTTAGCATACATACAGAGGTACAAAAAAAATACAGGTAAGAGCAGCATGCCAAAGCCACTTATATGCATAGCATTGCGGGCTGGCTTAAAATTAACTTAAGATTAACTAAGCAATGATGAATCAGTGATAAGACATTATTGTAAACAGATAACTATAAAATACAAATGAGTATTACAAAGACAGGTCATGTGGTTGCATGCATTGCTGTTCATTCAGGTAGTGTATTTAAAAAAAATAACAAAGTTAGGTTTAACATTTGTGTGTAAAATTTTGTGAGTAACATTTAGGTTTATAAAAATTTATATGGTTCAGTTATTCAGTATTTATTTGGTTTTGAGTGAGTAAGTGAACTTTGAGAAGAGACTTGAATTTATAAACAGGTAGTGTTTCTTTTATATTTACAGGTAATGAATTCCAGATTTTAGGGCCTTTTATGTGCATTGAGTTTTTGCATAGCGTGAGTTGGACACGAACATAAAAGAGTGACTGGGGCCTTGTATTATGGTCATGTGTTCTGTTGAGGTTGGCAAGTGTTTGAGGGGAGGGTTAATATCAGAGTTAAGTGTTCTATGTATGTAATAAGTGCAATAATAAGTATGGATGTTTTGTATGGTGAGTAGGTTGAGTGTTTTAAATATTGGTGGAGTGTGCTGCTGTAGTGAGAATTTATCATTCTAACTGCAGCCTTTTGTTGGGTAATTAGTGGTCTGAGATGGTTAGTTGTTGTTGAGCCCATGCACAAATTCCATAGGTGAGATAAGGTAAAAAAGAGGTGATAAAGGGCCGAGGGCTGACTGTGGAACATAGTACCGTATCTTCGATAGTATGCCTACAGTCTTGGAAATTTTCTTAGAAATTTGTTGTATATGTGTATGAAATTTGAGTCTATTATCGAGGTGGTTTCCCTAAGAATTTCCCTCTGTTAGCTTTGTGATAGGTGATCCGTTTATCGTTAGGTTAAGAGGTACATCTGTAGCTCTGCTACCAAACTGAATGAAGTAGGTTTTGTCAATGTTTAGTGTAATTTTGTTAGCCCTCATCCTGTAGATATTTTCTGTAATTCGGTGTTTACAGTATTGGCTAGCGTGACTGGCTCGGGTGAGAGAAGACGTATGTGGTGTCATCTGCAAAAAGTGTGGGTTTGAGTAATTGCGAAGCATTTGGTAGGTCATTTATGTATAGGAGAAAGAGAAGGGGGCCAAGGACATTTCCCCTGTGGGACACCAACTGTAATTGGTTGTGCGGAAGAGTTGCCCCATTTGCGTACACATATTGGCTTCTGTTGTGAGGTAAGATTGAGGTGTTGAGGGAGTCCCCTCTAATACCATAGTGTGACAATTTTACGTGGAGCAAGTCATGGTAAACTGTATCAAAAAGCTTTACGTAAGTCGATGAAGATCCCCAGTGGGACTTCTTTTTTCTCTATTGCAGTGTATATATGTTCAAGCATGTGTATAATAGCATCATTAGTATTTTTATTAGGCCTGAATCCAAATTGGCAGGGGTTGAGAATATTATGGGAGATGAGGTAGGATAGATTCGTTTTTGAATTAATTTTTCGAAGATTTTTGGAGAGGGTGTAAATTGGATATTGGCCTATAGTTATTTTAACTTGGTCTCCTCCTTTATGGATCGGGGTGACCCTTGCTATTTTGAGAACTGTAGGGAAGGTGGAGGATTCAATGGATTTGTTAAAGAGTGTTGCAATGATTGGTGACGCTTTTTTGTATATAAAGGGTGGTAAGGTATTTAAATCTCCTGCCTTGTTTTCAGTGCGTTGTAAAAAGGGAGATTCATATGGGTTAGTCGGAGCTAGGAACAGTGTGTTCGGGTTTGTTGCCAGTGAGGTAGTCATTTGGTGGGGTATCTGAGCTTGGGATATTATTGGCAAGGTTTTGACATATAGTGGAGAAGAAATCATTGAGTCTGTTTGCTGTTTCTGTTGGTGGGAGTTGGGGTTCATCTGATTTTGCTAATTTTTTTTCGCTATGTCGTGATATCTTTTTTGTTCCCAGAATTTCTGATAGGGCCTTCCAGGTCTTTTTTATATCACCTCGTAAGTTGGATAATCTGTTCTCATAATTCAATTTTTTTTTGCCCTTCTTATCAGGCTGGTTAGGATTGACGAGTAACGTGTTGTTTGGTCTCTGGTTAAGTGACCATTCTGTAATGTTTTCATATCGGTGTTTTGTATTTATGGATTTGGAATGCTGGGTTTTTAGCCAGGGCTGTTCGTCTCTTAGCTGTCATCTGTTTAGTTTTTTTAGGACAGTGCTTGTTATAAAGGGATTGGGTCTTTTTTAGAAAATTAAAACATTCGTCAATATCTGTATAGATTTCTAGCTCAGTGTGCCAGTCAATGTTTGTTACTGCTGTTGTGAAAATTTTTAATGGCTGCCCTTGTGAAAATCTGAAAGGGGACTTTAGTAGTGTCTTGGGGTATTTTACCAGAGTGTTTTTGAGGAAAGTAGGGTAGTGGTCTGTGGTATTATCTGTAATTATGCTTGATTTTAAAGGGGATATGGTGTTGGTCCAGATGTGGTCAAGTAGGGAACACTAGTCTCTGTAACTCTTATAGGTTTTGTTCTGTTGGTAGCACATGCAGTTACTCATTGTGTTTGTGAATTCAGTAAACGTGTGGGTCTGGTCTTGCAGGAGATTTATATTGAAGTCACCTGAGAGTAGTAAGTGATCTTTGTTCATGCGTGCATCAGTTATCATACTTCCTAGGTTTTGACTAAAAATTTGGCTAATGTTTGATTGTGGAATTCTGTAGATGTTTATCACTGTGAGAGGTTTTTGTAGGTATTTGGATTTGAATTTAGCTATTATATATTCCCCACGTTCATCCCTTGTGCAAGTATTAGTGATACATTCTGTTGGTTTTGGGGTAGTATATAGCTGTGCCACCCCCTTGTTGGTCTGGCCTAAAAGTTGTGTATGGCT